TAGAGCAATGCGTAACATTGAGTAGTGTAGCTTCATTGGTGGTGCTGAATAACGTCTCTAAAGTATGGATAACGTCCTTGGTGAATACTCTCACTCGTGCTTCGCTAAGTTGGATGTTGTGTTTGACTTGGATTCATGGATTGCCAGCTCATTATGGGTCTTGCCATCTTGTTTCTCAGTACGGGAGCCAACGCCTTACAGCCGGCCAGTATTACCACTGGAACTACTGGTGTTACGACAGCTGCTGCCGTCACTACGAAGACGCTTGATCCTACTATCTATGCTGTAGCTACAGTGGCCCCAGCGACATAGCCTGTTGCTGCTGTTTCGATGGAACTAATACAGTGGAGAGTACCGTTGCTGTAAGTACTAATGCCGTGATCACTCCTGATATTATTACAACTGCAGCAAATGCGATCATCTTTGCTTCTAGCATAACTACTGTGATCTACTTCATCCTTTCGGTAATTGTATCATCAACCGCATGTAGAGTATTCCTGAGTATCCATGATTCGAGTAACTAGTACTCAAGGGCGAGTTGTGGGAAGCAGGAATGAACGTGCGATTTTTTTAACATGTTTGTGTTGGATATTCAAGGAATTTTCCGAGAGAATGTTGTCAGCAGAACACTTGCAGCATCGATAGAAGGAGCATGAGAAGTCCTCTTCGGGAGATAAAAGCTCGTAAGACACATTCATTTTCTTGCCGTAACACATCCGATTGAATCATTGATGTACTTGAGGAAAATATTCTTATCGTACGCATGAGTGATTGAGCTTCATAGTCGTTACGCATCAGTCAACTACCTGTGTGGTCACTAGGTGGTATAGTGAAAGAAGGCTACGGAGATCTTTTTTGATACTGCATATGCAGAGCGGGGATTTCATATTAGTTTGGAGATGATTCCAAGATTCGCAGTGCATCAGCTTTCGCATAGCGGGTTTTTATAAGTCTATAGAAATCAATGCGGAGAACAATGAGATGAGTTCCAACATAACCACAAAGGTTATCACAACCAGGTTCAACGGGTAGATCACGGCCGCAGGTTCTGGTCCCCCCTACGAAAAACAGAAGCCTTCTAAGATTAGTGGCGCGGCTGAGTGTTCGTCCCTCGGAACCTTCCCCGAATCGAATTCGATCGCCGAAGTCTCGTTGAAACTGCCAAATATTTTGGATGCGATGCGGACGTATCCAAAACGGTTTCTTGTCGCAGGATTGCCACTCGATAATAACAACGATAATCTATGCTGTTGTGGTAATACCATTAGGTTGCAGCCTTCATTTATCTACCTACCTCATGATGCGTCTCGCTCTACTCTTCGCGCTCATCGTGAGTGCAGTCTCTCAGTCTACCACCGCAGCTGCATCAACCACCGCTCCTCAGCTGGTCACTACTACGCCTACTACTTCGAGTACTACTACGCCTGCCGGTCCTGTAGGCACGACCGTTGCGATCAGTACTACTACAGAGACTAGCGTACCTGTTACCATTGTGACGGGCGTCCCCGAAACGACCACTGTCGACCCCACCACTGCTAACCCTACCTCGAGTGCTGAATCTGCTGCAATCAGCTCCGTTGTGGCTGCTGCGTTGCTGATGATGAGCGCTTGAACCAATGAAGATTATTTTTCATCGTGATTATCATCCGTGCATGTTTGAAACACCCGCGTGCTGAATCTAAGCTGTTTTGTTCAGTGTTGGGATATATGAGTTCGCTCTCATACACGAATTAGGGTAGAAATGATCCCAAAATTTCACCCGAAGTCTCATTCCGAAACCAACACATTTTATTGACCATGTGCATGTCTCCCAAGCTCACCTACTACAGTCAACTTCGTGTACAAATAGTGACAATTCTGATGAGGGAAACTTGACTAACCGCGTCTGAATAATAGACGCAGGTGTGAATTATGGCACAGATCTTTCACACATTCCGTGTTGAACCTTAACCAAAGCTGCTCTGCAAGTGATCGTATTTAATTCGCATCATATTTTACCAAAATATAATGTGAACTAAAAGCGTCACCGCTGGGGATCGAACCCGAGTCGTCCGAATAGAGGATTAAAGGGCTGTCGGCGGCGGAGCGATGTGAATTCACAGCCAATCCCCTGTGGCCGCAGCCTCTAGGTTGGTGCCAGCCATGCCTAGTCCAGTGAGTGATGCCACCTCTACTACTAGCTCCTCCAACGATCCTGATGGCGGTTCCTCATCTGTGGATGATTGCGAGCTCAGGGTAGGGAAATTCAATATACTACTACTATGTCGATACCCGTATTTGAACCAATCGTTTCTCCCCAGCACTCACGATCGAATTCGGCATAGTTTTGAGTTCTTCGCGGTATACGGTTCGTTCTGGGTGTATTATGGGTGTGCGTTTGTTATTGTGATATATGTTGAAGTAGCATTAGGAGCATTTGATAGCAAACCTTAGAATGTCCGTTGTTATGTTTTCAATAGAGCGATCATATATACCTTGCCTTCACATTCAAGAAGGCGTCGCAGGTTGAATATTTCTACTGCTTTCGAGCGTTTGCTGTTAGGACACTATCTTATGTATTTCATATTTCGGTTGGATCATCTCGTCAGCTTGGACGATGCGGGTGATTCGATTCATAAAAGGAGTTGTTATCATTGTTTAGATGAAAGCGTTGGAAAAAGAAGTCGAAAGTCTCCAACGGAAAATTGTTTCCCATGAGATGGTTATACAGGAGCTCTGTGGAATCGGCGTTCAATGGAAGCGGACGCAGCCGAGCGGTGATGATGATCGTGAGAAGGTAAGTGTTGAAGTAGGAGAAAATTTAGATCTTTTATTTTAGGTCAGTCGTGTTCCCTCACCTGAAGAGCTTCGACAAGCTGTTGTTGTCATATCAGAGGAGTTGACGCTCAAGAGGAAGGTGAGTCAGCGCCTGTTCGACGTTTCTCAACGGGAGAACTTATGTGAGCTTTCCTCAGCTGAGTTTAGGAATCTTTTTTTGAGTATAGAAGTTTTGGTACGAATTCGAATGGAAATGTACAGGAATCGAAATTTGCCAAAATTTCCTCCCAGAATTTTCATATTGTCATCAGCACATGTAGTTGACCATAGGCATTTTCCTCCCTGCACTGTTGTAGTGTATTGGTATATTTCAGACTAGACTAGAGCGAGCGTTAACACTGTGTATGAAAGTGTTGGAATTAATGTTCGTATTTCTCAGCCGAGTCCAGAAGTTTCCTCACTAATTATAGAAATTTACATAAAAATTCGGGTGGAAGCGTAGAAAAACCAATGGAAATTTCCTCAAAATTTCCACGAATGTCACCTACACATGTAGTTTACTACGTGCAAACCGGTGTATGATGTAATCCCGAAACGCTCGATATGATGTATTTGAAGTTTCCTTTACTAATATTCGTGGTCCCATTGATAGTGGATAGTAGAATATGAATAATGAACAACAGACACATTAACATGTGTGTTGGGGGGGATGGACCACACTCCCCACTGAGCTCCTCGTCCAACTAGCACCCCGACACCCACCACTGTTAAGCAATTGACTTCGATGGAAATTATTATGATATGGGTATAACACTACATGGTATAATTTTATATATTTCAATGCCTAGGTTTATCGCTAATTGTATACTACCAAAATTAAGTGTTATACCACATGTCGCTTTCTTCGCCCGTATGCTTACTCTTCAGCGTTCCCGATACATCGTGTATGCCTCCCTAGTTATGGTAGCAGTCTTGGTTGGAGTGATGACCAGAGTAAGTAGGCAAGCATTTTTGTATGTTCTCTAGTGGGCTCTCAGATTCTGTACGCACAGTGGAGTTACTCCTCCAGCTTGGCGACCTTGTATATCGCTATGGTTGATAACGGGATGGATTTGCCTCCACTCGAAGAGCTAAGTTCAAAGTAGTAGTAGAAGCTTTGTTTTTGATATGGATTTTTCGTATGACTATGTGCTTTTCATTGGGATTAGTGAGTAATTATGGTATGCATCAATGGAGTTGAATCAGCCGTGATATGGAAAACACTAGTGAATAGCGTATTTCCGCGTGTCTTATAGGGAGTATCGCGGCACTTTACGTAAAACGGGTAAAACTCCAACGAGTTCAGGTGATATGAATATTAACTACATCGATGGTAATAGTAATATCGTAGTCGGTTTTTGGTAAATATTTGATTGTTTTCTATATGTTGCCGCTCGGGATTGAACCGGGGTCGTTTGGTGTTTCAGCTCGATATTCCCCGCTTCACCAGTTCTTTCGGCGAATGAAGTCGCCATTGCTCCCATATGGGTTGTGTTCTCCGCCATTCGATGGGTGTAGTAGCTAAGTCCCATCGTCCGCCGCTTACGTTCGCTGCTCTCAGGCTCAGTCAAGTATTTGTTTTCGCAGCATCAGTGATTGAACGCTTGTTGCGAACAGTCGTGTGTGTTCTGTTTGCCGCGACGCTCGGCTACGGAGTTTTGAGGTAATTTTGTGGCGAGTGACGGAAATTTAGTCTTATCTGGCTTCAACAGTGATGATGTCTTTCAGGCGTCTGAGGTCCGCATCAGAAGAGGAAGGCCCTCGAGATGGTATAGAGGTAGCCGCGTCTGATCTGTCTACGGTAGGTATATGGGAGTTGTACTACGATGGCCTCAATTCCGTCAAGTTTGGGCTTGAAGTGAATTGACCAGTGTGGGAAATATGCACATGTGTTGGTGAGAATGTGAAAATTCTGAGGAAATTATCATTGGTTTTTCACTTAACCAAAAAAGAGTTTCTTTCGGGGAGCTCAACTGAGGAAATCAGACATACATTTCTCCAACACTGATATCGATCGTTGCTATATGTGGTAGTATTAATATCAAGTAAGTAGAATTTATTTTTTTCGAATGGCTCCTTCGCAGCTCTACGATGAACGTAGAACTTAACTGTCGTGATGAGGTTTCCCATCGAATTATGGTTATGATTTTTCTTTAGTATTTTCGCTAATGAGAAGATCGATTCTCTCATTTTGTTTCAGGCCGAGTCTACAGAAACAGAAAAATTAGAACGAAAAGTTTCAGAGTTTTCGAGACGTAGTCGATCGAGAGACTCAGCCGTGGTGCAGCGAATGCTCACTGACTCTTCATGTGAGCATCACCACACTACTAATGTTAAGCCCGCGGTTCAGTGTGATGAAATTGAAAGGCGCCATACGGATCCATCGGTGATTGAGCACGTTGGTGAGGCAAGGGGGGAGCAGGAGATTGGTGAAGGAGATCGACGGCGAAGGGCGGCGGTGATGCGGTATCCACTCGGGTGGCAGCCGGCAGCGTTTAGGTTGCAGGGGTGTCCGTGGTATGGACAAGGGACGTGGTGAAATGCCGGTGGGGGGATTTGAACCTGGGTTGGCTCAATGGGAAGTAGCGGTCATGTGCTCTACCGCCAGGCTAGAGGTTCTCTGGAGCGTGCCGAGGCACGTCAATATGCATGTGGGTATACAAGCAGAGTCAAGTGACTTCTATTGGTCGTTCCTCGACAGTGCCGACCATCTTGTGTCTGAGCTCCCGTCTCCTTTGCACTCCTCAGTTGCTTTGGGATTTACGAATGCTGATGGGTGCATCGGTATGCACTAGATCCAGGGCGCATATAGCTACTATCGATAGGATGCTTATGAGTTCGAATTTCCTCGTAGTGTATTCTTCCTCAAATTTCTATATGTCTTCCTACAGTCCGCATATCTTCATCCCGTGTTGCTGTGCCCTAATCTGCGTAATAGCTTCTCAAGATTTGGTATGGCTTTTTTAAATGGTTATTTTTTATCAGGTGATAAGGTTTTCACTCAGCGGTGCCTATCATAAGGTCTTTGCGAACGCGCCGTGTCTATTTGATAAAATCATACCAAAAGGTTTACCCGCAAAAACGCTGCGTAAACTAAAGGAAAACATGTGGTAGGTTTTTATGGAGACTAGAATTGCATGTGAAGGTGACTTTGTGGAATTTAAAACTTTGGAGAATTCCCGGTTTCCATTCGAGGCTTTGGGTAACATTAGTAGAAGAGCTCATGTTGCGAAGTCTGGTTTCTTTTCCAAATGATAACCGTCGCTCTCGGATTCACAAATTTTATTAAATTGTTGTAACTTTTTGCGTTTTTATTGACCTCACATTTAGGTATACCTGCTGGCACACCTTCACTAGCTGCTATGGTTTCTATGTCGTCTCCCACGAGGCATGGTTCAGCTTCAGCAGATTGCTCACCGACCCTGTCGGGATGCTCTTTGTTGACCCTGGTGTTCACGACCGTTCTATCGGGGTACTAATTTCAGCTGATTCGAATTCCCATTGTGATTTCAGCTGGAGCGTTACTACTTGGTCGAGATAAGCTTCTGGTGCAGCTGCCTAGCTTTCATTGTAAGTGGCATCGTCATCAGCAGAGATATGTATACTATGAATGGCTCTCAGATGATCGAAACCGTTCGCAAGGACTTCTACCAGATGTTTTTCCATCATCTCATTACTATTAGTTTGATGATCGGAAGTTTCTGTAGGAAAATTTCTTTCCATCTTGTTGGTGTTGAATAGCGTTTTTTTTCAGACCTTAAATATCACCGTATTGGCCTTACTGTGATTTTCCTACATAATATCAGCGATGTGCCTCTCTACGTTGCAAAAACTGTGGGCTATCTCGCGGAAAAATATGAATGTAAGAACTCCTCCAAATTCGCTTAGATGAATGATCATTATGCACAGGGTTGAAGACTCCGACCGATCTCGCCTTCGCCAACTTCGCATTCGGTTTCCTCTTCTCGAGGTTATATGTGTACCCGAGAATCTGCGTTATTCCGGCGTGTACTTACGGTACGATTGTTACGGTATATTTGTATTGGAGTAGTTTGCCGTGGTCTCAGCTATCGAGTATAGACGCCCGTTGAAGGACTGTATGCTGGCTATATTCCTAGTGCTGTTGCAGTGCTTGCATATCATCTGGGGTAGTATGATTATCAAGATGATTTTCAAGACGATCAAACACCATGGTGTTCTCGCGGTAATCATATTAACCAATTACATGTCGAAAGAAGCATGTTCCTTTTCAGGATGGTGATATTCGCAGTGACGATGAAGAGAGCACGCCAAAGGGCGAGGAACCGATCGCCCACAAGAAGAAGGTGCAGTAGAAGCTGGCCACTTGTACAATACGAACTCCGAGTCATTCAAATCCATACACACTTTGCCAGTGCAAGGATTATCAAATACACAAGATACATTTTGTTAGTGGTCGATGGAATTGAATAATCTTCTTCTCCAGCTTCCATTGCTCGATGATGCTGTTGTGTTGAATGCAGTTGAGATTGATCGGACATCGGTTACCGACGTATGGGCGAACGACACCTCTAAAATCTGAAATTCAGCGAGCGAAAGGACGAATTAGAAAAATAAAATTTAATTCTAATAGAATGAAAGCCGTTTATCAAATTCACATTCGTGACAGGAAACAAGTTCGAATTCGTCGAATTCGAAAGGGCCAAGATGTCGAACACAACACCAATTTCTATTTTTTCCCGAGCAGCATTCCTTTTCACCAGGCAGATAGCCAGTATATTCTAGTATATTCAGTAATTTCTATTTGTTCTCACATTTGCTGAATTTTAGATTGAAAAGGTGTAGTGCGATCTAATCTACAGTACTTGTAACAATATGGACATTGAATGTCTAATCCCTCGGCTAATCCTTCCAGAGCAAGGTTGGTAGTCCATGCTTAATGCTACGTTTTCAACCTCACTAGGATAGGTAGAAGGGTTGTCCGTGAAAACAGTGAATCCTGGAAATGGTGAACCGGAAAAAATTTCCCGCGAACCCTGATAACAGTGAAGGAACTAGCGCGCGCTACGAGCGCGCGCCAACAAGATTCAAGCCGAGATCCCCTTAAGTCATATGTGTTGTAATCGACCGGTTGGTCTAGTGGTTAAGCGTTATAGTTAGTAACCCACTGTCCAAGGTTCAAATCTTGTGGTCGTCATGGTAGTTTTGTAATTCAGACGCAGTTCAACCGCGGCAGTTGAGGACCTCAACTTGAGGTATTGACCAGCTAGGGCGAGTAAGCCTCAGCTGGCACGCCTCTTTAGCAGTTACTCCGGGTCCACGAGTTGTAATACAATCCTATCCAGAGGTCAGTATAGAAGTTGTATTTGTTCACGTTCAAGAGGAACAGGCATTAGGACCTGTTGCCTCATGCATTGCTGTTTATCCTTGTGGTACTGCCAGAATTGTTCATCAACAAGGTTCCCATACTTCTTCTATAGTCACTACTATGGACTCAAACGCTTTGCTTATGGCAATCGCGTATTTCAGCTAGTTGGTTACGGACTGAAAACTCACTCCCTCGTAATGGAACAGTGGAACAGAAGACAAAATATTTGATCAAAAGTGGACTGGAGACGACACGGATTTCCGGACCCCGAAGCCCGAATAAAGAGCACCATTCAGTACTTCGGAAGTACTACTTCCTGTCCACAACCATGGCATAGGGTGACTCGAAAGCTATCACTAGACCGTTCGTGTTGCTCCTACTTTTGAAAAGTCGCTTCAAGACGTGCAACGAAGAACTAGGCGTGAAAAAGATGACAATCTGTATAATATGCGCCCCGGTCCTCAGTGGTCAGGAGCGCTGCGGTTGCTGTGAGCAAGCTGACTACTCAAACATTAATCAACCGGAGAGAGAGTGATCATTGAAAGTTGAATCGGTTCGGGAAGGAGTGGTAGAAAAATTACTGATATTTAGGATACCGGTGCGGGCGAGTTTGTTGTTCACTATTTTCAGGCTTTCACCCGCTTTAGTGGGAGAAAAAGTCCCTACAACGGATTCACTCGCCCTTCACCCTTTTCAGGATTCACTGTTTTCAGGAGGGACCAGGTAGAAGAACGTGTGTGTGTGAGTTTAAAGTCTAACGCCTATTACAACACGGCTTAGGTTCGCATCGATGCACATCACCTCACGAGGGATCAGTTTTAGCCTCATGAAATAGAACACGTAATTATGAGCGAATGTATCCGTGTAGAGCATTTCCAATAGTTTTAATCTATAATTCATCTCAACCCGCACATGTAAGTACTTAGATAACGTTAGTCAACGTATCAAAATTATACTTGAAAGGTATTGTGAAAAGAGGTTCCGGTCGTAGCCTTACGACACAGCTAACGACATACATATGTCATAAAATTAGTGCAGAGAAACTTTGCACTTCGACGTCGAAAGCGATCTTAACAATATACAATAAATTTCAAGCATTGAAAGGTTCTAGCTCGCCCTTGGTACAGGACACTACTGGTTCCACAGCTTCTATAAAGTAACGAATTATACTAATTAAAATTCTGATCACTGAGAGAATAAAAAATCCTCCCTTAACTGAATAACGCAACAAATCAACCATATAAGAACGTCATCGCTAGGGATATCCTTCCTCTCTGAACAATAATGCACAGAAAGAGTTCTTTGGAATCCTTCACTCAATTACAACACTAAGCCTGAGCAGAGGTAGCTTGCTGGGTTGTGGTGGTAGTCGTTGGTTGCACACTAGTAGAGCTCACAACTTGAGGTTGGCCGTACTGTGGAAGTTGCATATTATAGGTGCCAAACGAGGGTACACCCGCAGAGGCACCCGGGTACCCACCACCGTACGAATAGGTCACACCAGGAGCTGCTGAAGAATAGGTAGTTTGCTGACCAGCAGTGGAGGGACCAGAAGTGACGTATTGGACCGTCTGAGGAGGCACATAGGAGCCGGTCTGAGAAGTCACATACTGGGGAATGTACGACGTGGTCTGAGCGGGGACATAGGAAGTCGCTTGTTGTTGTTGCTGTTGTTGCTTCTGTTGCTCAGCGGCCTGCTGCTGCTGGAGTTTAGCCATCTTGTCAGCCATCTCCTTCTGGAGCTTCTGCTGTTGAGCTTGCATGCACAGTTGACTGGCAGTAGCCTCGATCTGCATCCTTTGCTCTTGAGCTCTCTGCTCGATCTCCATTCGTCGTTGCTGATGCTGTTGCTCCAACGCGAACAATGCCTGGGCACGAGACTGCTCGATAGCACTGGTGGTAGTTTGCAGATCATAATTGGCCTTCATATTAATCGACTGCTTAGCCTGCTCAAACTCGTTCTTTGCCGAGTCCTTCGCCATACCAAGTTGACTATCGAGCATAGAGAGGCTCTGAGTCTTCTGGTGCTTGATGCTATCAGGATCCATATAGACCTGTGGAAGGGCCTGCTGACCTTCCGGTGGTACGTAGGAGGTAGAGGTAGTAGGCTGACCCGTAGCGTAGCTAGTGACACCTTGTGGGGGAAGAGTAGTGTAGGTGACACCGGTCTGAGGGGACACGGAGTAGGTGTTGACTGACTGGCGGTGCTGGACAGAAGGAGCGGCGGCAGCTTCAGCGCTCATAATTAGATAAGAGTGTGACAAGTAAGGCTGAGAAAGATCGAATTGGCCAGTGATACTGCGACGATCGCATCATGCGCTCTTGCTTTCTCGCTCGCCCGACCGTTTCGGGAGGAGGTATGAGATTACGCCACTTTTGTACTAATCCACTTTTGTACCAAATCAAGTAGCGCTCGCCCCTATTTTAAAAACTTCCCTTCGGGAAGCGCTTCGCTCCGCGAACCACTTCTGTGCTAAAATCGTTCCTTTTGTGGAAAATTTGACCCAGTTGATTGAGCTTGTACCACTCTCAAACCACTTCTGAACCAAATAAAATAGCGCTCGCCTCAGAACAAAAATAGCAAATAGTTGATCGAATAGCTCTCCGTCAGGTCGAAAACAGAGTAGAGGTCCTGACTCAAGGAAGTACTATTCCTGATGACATCGTGGATATGTGGATGGCTATGCTCTGTCGGCAGGGTGGGGTTACACCTGCTCGAGGCGTATTGGTGGGAACAACTCACTTCGGCTTCTTGCGGGTCCCTGATAGCATCCTGAAAGGCCGTGAGCTCTATCTCCAATCCGTTCTGGATCCGACATGTGGACACTATGCCGCATCTGGCGTTGTGGATGGTCAGGTGAATTTCATGGACAGTATGAATATGTCGGTCCCGTCTTCGGGTTTTCTGTACAAGCCCTACGCCAGCTGTATGGTTCAAAACGTGTACTTAATGCTTCGGTCCAACAGCAGAGTTACGGGAGTAATTTATGCTGAGTTTTTGTTATTGCTAGACTTACTGTGGTTGTTTTTAACCGCCAGCGGTTTCGTCTTTCGGTGTTCGATGAAGCTAGTATGAGATACCATTCGGCTGCATGCATTACTAGGAAAGAAATTAGCAGGTTTCGGGAAATCTTTCCCGCGCTAGCTAGCATGTTATTCTCACCTGAAGGGGAATTCAATACCTGAGTTTAAAGCTTTTATGAAAGTCCTAAGAGTGTAGTTGTCAATCAAATATTCCTCAAATAATTCCTTAATATCGGACGACGATGATAAGCGTTCATCGATCACCCAACTAGCTATGTCTGCACCCTTATCAGAACTCTTGCCGCTATGTATCATAACCACAGTTACTAGTGAACATAATGCCTAATCTATTGATGATTTCCGAAACCATACCTTTGACTACGTTACTTAACGTACGAAGTATAATCAATAGCAGCTGGTAAACCTCAACACAGTGTACTAACTCAAGCTGTAGCCTAAGTCCCAGGCCAGTAAGAATCAGAAGCTTAACTCACTTCTGTCCTCAGTCTAACCTTTAAGAGCACTAGGCAAGTGCTCGAGCAAGGCCTCAGCACGCATGCAGAAATACGTGACGCCACCGCTGTCACGGCGCACAATACAATAACAGTAATAACAGAGTAATACAGCCAAATATAAACACCGCGAAGCCGTATAATGGTTCATGAGTCTCCGTACACTGCGCTGGAGTGCACAACGGCCCGTAATAATTACGACATAATTTTGGAGTCTACACTTGTAGACTACAAGGAATGAGGTTATACGTTGAGACTTGTTAAATTGCGACATGTATACTCTTAGGTAGACGCAGGACTGTCCTTTACTCCCCCTCGCGGTGAGGGCTTCACTCACAGTAGCGGAAGGCAGGTCGTTTTAAGACGTGTGAAAAAACCCAAGTCGTAAAATTTAACCCGTGCGAAAGCATCCCAAGAATTTAGTACAGAAGTGGAAGTAAAGTTTTACACGGTGTCAAAAATTTCGGTATCGGAAAAAATAAAGTGAGTAAAAACGTGCAGAATTTGGTACAACAGTGGACATTTTACCCACTACAAAACTCAATCGTTTGCGTGCGAAAAAGTCCTGATCCGGTATAAATCGCTCACCTATCATCGTTTAGTACAAAAGTGGTTTAGTACAGAAGTGGAGACACGTATGAAACGACGTCATCAGCGCGCGCCCAACCGATCGGAATTCGGTTCCTGCTCGCCTGGTACGCGATCGATCACTAGCCACTTCATCGTGTCTAAGTTGTTTTCCAACAAGGAACAAACCATTCAACGCATGGGGAATTAGTGTCACGCAGATCATCGCGCAGCAGATGCGTTACATTCGCCGTGGACTCCTGCTTCAGGCCGGTCCCAAGGCCTGAAGTTCAGGGTTGCCTCTGTGTGTCAAAGACTCCACATTCCATTGTGATATACAAGCTGAGTTTCCTAACGAATACGTGCGCTATACTGCTGCGCTCATCTACAGCGGGGAAGTTCTCTCATCGGGACGGCGTAATGAGTTGCCGAACTCGAGCCTAAACTTGAGTTCTTCACATATCCTATCCTTTCCATCTCGTGTTTGATGTTGGCCTGCTCAGCGATCAGCTGAAGGATAATAGCTATAATATAACAGTCATAGTTCGGTGAACCTCCTGATGCACTGGACTATACTATCGGTACTGTACTGCTTTTGCCGAGAAACTTTGGTGTTCATCGCCAACTACTATGTAGCGCGGAACAAAATATCAAGCTCACGGAAACGTTGGCCTCAATATGGTTTAATGTCGTTAAAACACGAAACGCATCAGTATCTGATGCAGGAAACAACTCAGAGGATTGCATCGCGATCTTGTTATCTATGGATATCATGCGAAACCCTCTGTTCGATTTTCAAGAAAGATTTCATGTAGTGTAATTGCCAGAATGCCAAGTTTAACACACTGCACAGATGACCCCCAAAGAGCTCTCGAGTTCGTCGTTTCCGATGCACCTGATGTTAGTAAAAAACTGCATACTCGAACAGTCGAGTCAACGACGAATGCATAGATTACTGTGTTGCATTGCGTCCCTAGCGACATAGTAATGCTGCTGATTCATAAAGGTTTCGACCTATACACAGTTATAATCCAGAAGGGGTTCTCGCCTATGAATCTATGTGGCATGATACCTTGTTCTTCAATGCCTCAAAGAGATACTTCAGTTCATTGGTGTTATCAGTGGTCGCCAGCTGATCCCCGCTAGAAGACCCTTCCCGACTGCCTTTTTTGTGGAAGCGAAGACTAAAAAATATCCTATGACTATCGTATGCTATAGTATTCATTGTTACATAAGAAAATACGGCCGAGAGAATTGTTGGACTGGATCGGACTAATACTTAAACAATTGTTACAAGCCTCTATAGCTCAGTCGGTAGAGCGCGGCCCTTTTAAGGCCGTGGTCGCGGGTTCGAGCCCCGCTGGAGGTGTTATTCTGCATATTTAATTCTGCGCGTGCTGCTCAATTGGAACTTCTTACATGAACGCATTTGTTCTATTCGTAGATTAGAACTAGTTGTTCGCGACGTCGATACCGTCGGAGTGGAACGCATCTTGTACGTTTCGGGATAGCCTGAGAGAGTTGAACGAAAATTATTCTACCACACGATATAGTATCTCACCAACATCCTTAAACTGAAACGACTTCCGTGACAAGAAAAATATCTTCCTTCAGCACAGCAGACTCGATAACCCTTCGCCCGACTTCCTCCGCATTCTCTCACATCCGCGCCGTGTCCGACACAATGTGTCGATCAAAATCCACTATGAGATTACTGACTGTCCAGACAAAGCGTGAGAGAGAGGCGGACAGATCGCAACCCTAGTAGGCTTTGATCGACAGCACGAGGTTTCGAACTCGCGGAGACTACAACTAAATGGGTCTGAAGCCAACCTCCTCAACCCTTCGAGCACATCGTCCATCGGATCAGCTTACCCACTGAGCTGCGGTTTGGCGCCAGCCGGGCTCGCTCGGCGAGCATGACAGAGACTCTGCGCGAGAGCCTTTATTTCGTTCAGCCGACCACAGGCTGTGGTCCACAGCTGTGGGAGCCAGTCACATCTTGTCGGTATAGGGCCGCTGATGATACATCGTCAAGGCTGGCTCGGTGGATGAGCAACATCACCGGACTAATATTTAAACATTTAGCACAAGCCTCTATAGCTCAGTCGGTAGAGCGCGGCCCTTTTAAGGCCGTGGTCGCGGGTTCGAGCCCCGCTGGAGGTGTTATTTTGCATATTTAATACTGCGCGTGCTGCACAATCGGAACTTCTTACATGAACGCATTTGTTCTATTCGTAGATTAGAACTGGTTGTTCGCGACGTCGATACCGTCGGAATGAAACGCATCTAGTACGTTTCGGGATAGCCTGAGAGAGTTGAACGAAAAATATTCTACCACACGATATAGTATCTCACCAACATCCTCGAACTGGAACTACTTCCGTGACAAGAGAAATATCTTCATTCAACACAGCAGACTCAACAAGTCTTCGCCCGACTGCCTCCTCATTCTCTCACATCCGCGCCGTGTCCGACACGATGTATCGATCAATCGATATCCGCACTGCAACGAATATTCAACAGCCTTTTCGACATTCACCATCATTTGCGAGCCACATGCCCAGTCCGCAGGTTGGAGTGCTCCTGCCCACCTCGGTTTGAAGTCATCTCGAGTGATTGTCGATGAAGATGGTTACATTCGATATTCGGTGAATGCCACCAGATGTCCACCTTGAAGTTCAAGATTTGAACGGCCTCCGATGGTTCGTGATTTTCTCAACTTCCCAGAGAAAAACACCGTCCTAAAGTTGTAGATCGCTAGACCGAGAGGAATGATGTCCGTATCACCCAAATCGTTCGCCTCGGCCATGAAATAGGAGCTTCTAATTTAAATCTTCATTCGAGGTGATCCGTTCAGCCGAATTCCTCGTTGACTGACATGCTGGTCTCATGCAAACCTAATATCGCTCTTGGCTATTATAATTATCATTCTTAACTCAGTGAGTTATTGCCCTCATTCGCATTTTCGTGCCCGCAGGCCAAATAGAGTCCTCATTGCTCTAGTTCGGGGCATGAACATCTTTACCTCGCACCCTCTGACTAATAACCAAAAACATCTCATCATGAGCCAAGCCAACACGTATACAGGAACTCAACCGAAAATGGTGAAAACCATCAGAAAAATGCTGATGGTGACAATGACGATGAATATACCCATCTAACACTTCTACGGCTACCAATAACGTCACAAATAATGATCACCGAGTAAACTTTTATACCGCAAGATCTCCATTACGGAGCAGTTCTCCTATTCACGCTTGAGCTTGCGCGAGTAGGGCAGCTTTCTCAGCTGCTTCCTCTTCACGTTGTTGTTGCCTCAACGCTGCCACTGACAAGAGAACACTCAGAAGCATCTCATCATGTCATCACAAAGTGTGGGGCTGGGAAAATATGCACGTGGTCTACTACATGTGTCGGTGGCGATATCAAAATTTCGAGGAAATTCTCGTACACCTTAGTTGAACTAAGTTAGTTCGTACGGGAACTCCTATACTAAGTAAACAAACTCCCGAGTCCAGCTGAGGGAAGCAAACATATATTCCAACACTGTAATCATAATCGATCACGTGATCGATTATGAAAACCAACTTACATCTCTGACGCTCCGGCTTCGGAGGACGATGACGTTTCGATTTACCACCAGTCACGTTTTGCCGTGGAGAGGCTGCTGGTCCCTTGCTGTACTCAATGTCCGCCAACGCCGGTGTAACTTAATAAAAACCAAAGTAAAGCCGCTCTTGGCTAAGGTTTTCTCGCCCTGCGAACAACACTCCTTGGCGTCACGAACGAGCCAATTTAATACGCTAAAACTGAACCCTCGCGAGCTAATGTGCTTCCATGCGAGTCCAACTAACCCGTATTGTCGGAGACGTTTAAACTCACACACACTAGGCTAGATTCATCAAGCGAAAATCCCCCAACCCCTCACCCGTAGCGTTGGGTGCATTCGAGTTATCAGCAGCACCAGCAATAGCGTCAGTTTTGCTTAGAGTGGGAGGTGACTCATTTCCTCCGCCCAGCTTAGGTTCAGTTGCCGACCTCGAGTCCGGGATCTCCGCTGCTGAAGACACCGCGGTTTGTTCCGCCCGTCCAGAGAGAGCACCATCAGCATGAGACCTGATCACATACCGTAAATGCGGTAAAACGTTCTTCCCAGTGTGAGAAGACATACATATGGTCAACTACATATGTTTGTTGAAAATATGAAAAAATTCGGAGAAAATTTAGGGAAATTATTGTTGGTTTGTGTATTTTTCAAATTCAGCGAATCGATTACAAAAATCCCGAGTTCACTTTCGAGCCACATTTTTGGACCGTAAACCTACTCCAAAGTGTGCCTAGAACCACAAGGGACCCCTATGATTTTCACCAAACTCATCGAAGCCAATAATCCAACTCGTCTTACCTCATAACTTCTGTCTGAGGCAACTCAACCGCCTCAATAGATGAGGGAACTGTCGAGAACCTGACAACAGATCAGAGACCATTCCACACACCCAAGAGCTCACTGTGATAAGTCCTTCACTTTTCCGCGGTACACAGGCGCATTGAATCGTACATCGGGAAGTTCTCTACGATATGCCTCAGCAGCCTCCTTCACATTGTCCACCATCACTCTCGGGGTAGCTGATTCCGCACTAGTAGACTCAGTCGCTGGCGTCTCCACCGAAATAACAACGTCATTGCCATCGATCGTCTGCTCGCCGATAGAAACTTCGACTCTCTTTTCCTCAGCAGGATAATAAACGTTTCTCGACTCACCGCCACCACCACTTCTTCTACTACCACAACAACGTCCGATCATCCACGCAGTTGCGAGACCGGCCAAAGTACCCCACGCAAGGCCAAGCCAGTATTCAACTCTACCAAAAATGCTGAGGATATCACCACCGGCAAGCAGTAGTTCCGCACTCCTAGAGGAGATGAAGTTCGCTAAGGCTTCAGCGGTCCAATCCAATTCGTCGTTTTTTGTATCAGTTTTGTCTTCATTCAAGTTCACCAAACAAAGTGCAAACCGACCATCACCGCTACCAGCAGGCACGTTGTTCACAGCAACACAATTTCGTGGCGTGTGACTTTTCACTCCGTCAATAGCTGAATCCATCCAATCTCGTAAATAGGAACAACCGTGTTGAGGCCCCAGTATGGCCAAGATTATCGGGGCCAACGCGTAGAAAGGGGACATAATAGCAAGAAATACTCACGAGAAATATACTGAGAGAAAAAAAACTTCGCTCCGCCGACCCTAACCCGGAAACAATCGTCTTATAGCACATCACACTGAGGGCAACTTCCATGCAAAACTATCTATCATCGCAATGACGGCACTATAATCGTCGGAGCAAATCGCCCACTTCTGATCGACGATTTCCTGGCATAAACAGTCGACGACCTGAGACACAAGAGAGTTCACTTCTACAAAACTATTGCTACCATTACTCGTTAGCTTCCCCCTTCCCCTGGACATATATAGAGGACATCAGAGGCTGTATTCGCATGCCCAGACCAGATGCTTTCTTTTCAATACGCTTCCTCACACGGGCGGAAACAACCTCTTGACCGCTGGTTCGATCCCCCCTCCGTGCACTTCTAGCCTTACCACGACAGCTCGAACGGATATCAGATACCACCCCGGTTCGATCCCGCCACTCGTCATTTCTCCCCAGCCGTAATAACAACCCCACAGCCAAGCCGAAACAGAATCCCAACACCATTTCTACGGTGGGCTCATATATACCCTCAGATTCATCAACCGTTGTGATCTCCCCAACATCGCCCGGAACGAACAAACACGGCGCTAGGATAGTCGCGACAGCAACAGGCGCGAGCAAGCAACTCATTTCAACGAACAAAAAACAACACTATGACAATCAGCTACCACTATGAAAGGTTCCACTAGCTCTTGAATACTCACAACAAAGAAGGAAAGGACGCAAATGAGGAATGATCTTGTCATTCCGGGAACGCTCACACCGTACCAATACACGAAACGACACCAAAATCGCGAAAAAGCACAGGCCATGCAACCCAGACAGTATAGATAGAATAAAAGCACTTTTCCTCGGCTCGATATAGGAGGGGTAGTGACGAACGAGAAGATCTCAACCCCCTCGAAGGCACCAGTCACGAACCTTTTTTCTGCCCAGAGCTGTAAACTGTCTCCATTTTGTGTTCTATCTAGTAGCCGCGCCACAACACAAATCCTCTCAACTAAGCGACGGATAATATTTGTTTGGTCACTTTCCCCTTCCACAATGTTCTCATAGCAATGACATCTTCCGCGATTCATCAGATCGAAGTACGGAGCAAATATATAGAGAGAGAATGGACCGATTGCTCAATACGAGCTTCAGCCTGCTCCATGCCCGGACACCCCGCATAAGCACCCCAATGCACACCGAGACAAGGACGAGGCAGGAGGCCTCTTTCAAATAAGTCCTGGCTGGCAGTCAGGGGACAATCAGCCTGCAGAGAGCTCATCGTGGGCTCCCAACCACGGCAGTCAACGATGCGTAGTGGAAATGCTACAATAGCTGAACCGTTTATGTTTAGATATCAGTGATGACGAATGTCCGCCGAAACTGTTCCGAGTCGTTGACCCGGGTTGAGTCCTGATATAGCACAATGCTCCACTTCTACCTGTACCTCACACCCTGTGAACCTTCAAGCCGCCGTGGATTACCGAGCTTCTTCTCATCGTAAATAATGCTCTGCAATGAGTAGACTTCAGTCTTGATACCTATGAAGAATCATGAAACCTTGTGCCCATAAGAAGCACTCTTGGTGTGAAACTCCAACAGCGTATACGGCTTTTGGTGTTCGAAAGTCTACGCAATGTTGCTGGCAAGTTGACACTCACAAGTACTGCTTGTCAGCGGTGCTAGCCGTTTTGTTTCTCATGGAAAACTCACAAGAAGCAAGCTCGTCCCGAAATTCGGCGGCAGATCTCTAGGATCCAATGGCACGAACACCAAAACCAAATAATACTACAAAAGAAACAACTCTCATGTAGAAACTGTTATTCGGCTTTCGAGGGTTGTAAGAAACCTCCAGTTTCGCTAGACGTCGCTACACACTGAACTCGAGTTTGTAGCACATAAAAAAGGCCTGTCGTAGACAGCGATTTGACAGTTGCACACGTCGTATAGGATAGCTGCTGGTTCTATTAGGTTCTGCATGCTACCATGATGTCGTCTATGTACACTGCGAAGCAAGAATCCTCACTCACTGTAGATCAGTTCCTACAGTACGTCAACGAACAGCCAGTCAAAAGCAGTCTGCAAAGCGATGGGTGCGATGCATAACCCGAATGGCATACTGCTGCAGTAGAAGATTTCGCCGTCTCACACTAAACCCATGTACTGCTGGTCTCTCTCCGTGAACCCTATGTGTAGGAATGCGTTTGTGATGTCCATCACAATGAATACCGGCTCAGTCGCCAGAAGTTCTATGGAAAATTGGAATGCCCAAGTCATTCACGACTTGCAGGAAGTTCCTCACTTCACCAGATCGATTGGGCGTGAGACTGGGCGAGTGATTCACCGTCGAGGATTCATACCCCGGGTATCACATCCCATGGGCTCTTGAATGAGCCATTTATTGCTCCTTAGGTTGCTCAGTGAACTGCAGTCTACAATCGTAGACAGCGGCTTGCAATAGAGCATTCATCTCAGCACAGGTTTTCAAACTCGACGTTGAGGTTAACCGGTTCGGACTAGTTTGCCTGTCAGTCTGAAGGAAATCCGCTATCAGCCGACTGAAATCCCCTGGGGATCAATTCAATGGAGCGAACATGTAACAAAATGTTGGACTGTAGTCCTCCAGAGCAAGCTGAGGCATTCGAGTCGGAGAACAACCCGTATTCACAGGTGAACCAATATAATTGTGGCGAGTGGCTTCCATATTTACAGGTGAACAATGGAAACCGCTGACCTCGCACAATGAACAGCCAACTCGATTAAACTTTACACAATCTATATAGCTGTATTAGTTTATCGTATACAACAACTCTGTAGTGCTCTATACCCGGCGGGTATTACCCGCTGACCTCTATTCTAGATATTGCAAAGCATTCCCACACCGCAGCACTACTGGTGTGTTAAATTCATTCACTGAGAGCTCACCTTCTGGGTATCGTGAGACTCCCATAAATGGTCTATATGAAAACTAGTATATCGTTATTGCAACAGCGCCGAGAACCCCCACGGAAAATTACCGCATTAACGCGAATAAACCGCCGAAGTCCCGACTTGAGCTATTCCAGCAGTATGAGGACCGAAATAGTAGCGCTTGAGAAGCCTTTTCGGTCCTGTGTGTCCGGCGCCGAGCTTAGTTGATGTCGTCAAAGTCTGAGTAAGACACACCACTCCAACTATTCAGGAACATATTCGCTGCATGGGTCACAGATTTTGCTCGCTTGGTGCTCTAAATGAACTACCATCCTCCACACACAGTCTACTATGCGGTGTTGGTAAATTGGCACATGGTTAACTACGCGTGTTGGTGACAATCGATTGATCTTGGAGAGTTCATGTTGATCATTTCCCACTTCTACCCGAAGTCGTAAATGAATTTCCATATTATGCTATATTATAAATACAGCAAGTAAACTCCCAGAATCAGCTGAGGGAACCAAACAAATATTCCAATACGGTGCGTGTCAATTTGATATGCAAATGTGTGTTATTTTGGAGGACGAATTATAGTGAACAAGTTGCTGCTATCACAGTCCCAAACGGGTACGGTCATCACAACACATGTTCATAGCCATTGTTACATTGCATATGCGATCTAGTTCCAGATTGAGTCTCTTTAACCTAGAAAATAACGCACATTTGCGTATCAAACTAACACGCACTGTACTATGTGTAGCGGGGAAAATGCATATGGTCAACTGCATGTATTACGCATGATGTGTTGGTAACAATGAAGAAATTCTGAGCAAATTTCGGGAGATTTTCCTCGGTTTTCGAGCACCCTCACCACTAGTCCTGCATGAACTTTCATAATGCAGCGAGCAAATCCTTGAGCTCAGCTGAGGAAACCAAACATATTTCCCAATAATGCTGCGCAACAATGGAAGTTTATCAAATGATTCCATTCATCTCAAATGTGCCTCAACTATCACTATTCGTACTCCCTTTCCCGATAACAAGTCATTGCCACTTTCGTGATGTGATGGCGTTATCACCCTTCCGCCTGATTCGTTTTTGACTCAGATCCTATCGCGATCTTGAGAGTGCGAATAACCCAAATTTCAGCAAAAGCGTACTACTCATCGACAGGCCGATTTTCAGACGGTTGGCTTATATGACCAACAGAAGTATTGGCGTGCTTTATGAATGCTCCTACGATACTGTTCCGCACGCTGTTTCAAGAGTCCTGGAGATCGACCTCTGAAATTATCAGAGGGCGATCCCCGGAACTCTTTCAGACTGAAACACCATGAATACTATCCAGTAGATAGTTATACCATATAAAAGTCATAGTAGCTAGTATTCAATATGACTATTATATGATACAACAAGGATACGAAGCTGGCGTCTCATTTGCAGCTTTTGCGGGTTGCGTTATTTGTGTACTTGTATAATACGATGTTTACACGATATGAACACGATGTTTATACGATATAAATACGATGTTTATGCAATATGAACACGATGTTTATACAATATGAACACGATGTTTACACGATATAAATACGATGTTTATGCAATATGAACACGATGTTTATACGATATGAACACGATGTTTATACGATATGAACACGATGTTTATACGATATGAACACGATGTTTATACGATATGAACACGATGTTTATACGATATGAACACGAACCATAGCATATACTGACCAAAAGGGCGACGTATTCTCAAGTTCACCCAAGAAGTAATCAACAAAACCCGTTCTTCACAATGAGAATAGAAACGTACTGTCAGTGTGAATGATAAGCACAATAGCGATGCAATAGACGTATTCTACATCATGTAGATCACTCATTTCTTCTCATATGATATGGTCTTCCGCATGGACTTCAAGTGGGACCAAAAAGAGAACTTTTCACCATTACCATCATGCCTCTCACTATCCAAAATTCTCTTGGG